TCTATTAAAGTGCAGACAAGTATGTTTTTTATGGGCAAATAAAGTTCACAAATGTGATGAAGTTTGGTTGAATTTTGTTAAAATGTACTCAATTGATCCACATGCATTTTTTATGCCACCAAAGCAATCTAATATAAATTCTAAACCTGATTCTGCAAACATGCAAGTGATTGGTGAGCGTCTTTTTATTTTGTCATTGAGACCAAATCAAAACTTTTTGAATTCCTTAAACAGTATGGCCTACACATATATAATGGGGCGCAAGCTCTTAGTAAATTTAAAGAATCATGCTTGCTTTCAACTGATAATTGATCATGATTCTCGTGGCAGTAATGTATCTATGGCAATGGATTCTCAAATAGTTGTTTACGGTATTTATTTATTTTAATAGTTTTTTGCTTTCAAGTTATTATTAATATCTTATATAAATCATTAACTTTTAGGATTTATTTGCTTACATATGAAATTACTAATTATTTGTAAACTTTATTTTTTTATTTATTAGAAATTACTAATTATTTGTTAACTTTATGGCAGGATTGTTCTATGTGCAAACATCTAGGTTATGCAAGCTAAAGTGTTTGATTTTTGCATATTTCTTTTTAATATAATCTTAAATATCATGCTTTTAACATACTTTTATATCATGTTTTTACCAGTTTTGAAGATGTAAATGTTTTATCTTTGCTTTGAACCATCTTTACCATGTTTTAGATTCCACTTTTGATGTTTTTCTTGGTTTTGTAGACTGTTGAATAAACCTTAAATTTTGTACTCAAGTATTTCAAGTTTCCAAATAAACAAAATAAACATTTTAAAATAAATTTCTTAGTAAATATATCAGCATAGGAAGCAGGGATAAACCTTACTAAAAGGGAAAGGGGTTGACACTATTTTTAGCTTTTTCTTTTCTAAAACAATTTAAAAAAAGTACCTGAGAGTACAGAAATAGGGAGATCATTCTTTCTGTAATAACTAAAGCACAACTAAACAATAATATTGTTAGCCATATCTATAGAGAGATTGTTAGCCATATCTATAGAGAGATTGTTAGCCATATCTATAAAGATATTTTTGGTGATGTTGACATCAACTCTAAGTTTTTTAATGTATTATATTATTGTGAAACTGTTTTGTATTGATTTGGAGCAATCACTGGTTTTTTGTTGCAGTTCAAATATTTGGACCACAACAGTACATTTGTTCAAATAATACTGTTTAAATGAATATAATAATAATAAAAATGTATGAATGTAAAAAATGTATAAATTTAAAAATGTAGTGCTGAATGATCCGTATAATTTAGTATCATAGATAAATTGAAATTGTTTAAAAAGAGGAAATAAATGTTTTATTTTTTGTCAATTTTATATGTCAGGAATGATCATTCTTACCTCTCAAAATGTGTGAAATCTGTTGGCAGTAAGATTCTAAACTCTCCGTTTAGAAGTTTGCATTGCTCCCCCAGACCCTTTCCTGGCTAAGGGAAGGCCTCCTTGTCTCCTCTCACCTTCAAATTCCTACCTCAAACTGCTAATTCCCTTCCTCCACCCCCACCCCCTCCCCTCAATTTTCCATGATTTTCCTACACCAGTTTGAAACATTAACTGTAAATTCACAGTTCAAAGTTAAATTTAAAAAAAATTTGTTTTCTTATATTTTAATTTGAATTTTATATAATTTTTTATATTTTATATATTTTATATATTGTTTTAGTATTTAATTTTTTTTATATTCTTTATATATTAGTTTAAACTTTAATTTTTATTAAAACCATTAAGTATAAGACTTGTAATAACATTTTTAGTTATTTAAAATATTTAATAATATAAAATTAATATAAATATTTATTGTTAGAAAAGTTTGCAAAATTTAAATATTAATAATTGATGTGTGATGTTTTTAATCCTGTGTATATATTTATAATATATATATTATTTATAATCCTGTGTATATATTTATATATAATTATATATAAAAAGATTTTTGACAGTTACCTATAGTTATATATAAAAAGATTTTATATTAAGGAAATACTTTATAAATTGTGCTAGAAATGCAGATAAATTTTAAATTTGTTTTTCAAATGTCTTTGCAAGACTTTACTGTTTTTATCAATGCACAGATGAAACAATGCACAATGCACACGAAAGCGAGAAAACTAATTATTTATTTGTGAAAAAAAAATTTTTTTAACAAGTTTTTTATGAAGAAAAAAAAATTAAACAATGCTGCAAAACTGTGGGCTAGTGCATTGTTAATTTACTGAACTTTCTTAATGAACTTTTTAGGAGCCTATTTAAAGTTTTTAAATATATTTTTTTAAACAGAGCCATCGTTATGTTCATTATCTCTAGTAACTCGTATTAACATTGGAAATTGGGCAACATAATAGAAACAACTTCATACATACATCAAATGCTGTAAATACATTTATTAAAGAAACTATGTTATTCTTTTATTTAACTTATTCTGTCAATAACAAAATTTAATAATCAAATAATATTTTTTACAAATAAGTAACAATCTATTTTCTTATTTCCCTATTACATAATTATTGAGAAAAAATGTCAAATATAGCAAAAAGTTTTTTAAAAGCAAAACAACGTAAAAACAAATAAACGAAATAAACAAATAAACGTAAAAAAAAAAAGTTAACAAAATTTCTTATAGTTCTAGCGTACATATCAAATTAGTTTCTTAATTATATGGACTGATAAAAATCATGAATAAATTGCATATCAAAGCTTTCAATTGTTGTTAAATCGTTATAAAAAATAATCTATTTTTTGTTATAAAAGATAATCTAATTTTTCAACAACAAAAAAAGAATACAAAAGTTGTATACAAAATTTTTTTTTATTTAATTTTTTTTTATTAATAAATTTTATTAATAAAAAAATTTATTTAATTAAACTTGATATTTCGTTACAATTTTGTTTCCTTATTTAAGATTTTTTTTTTTTTTATAAGTAAATAAGTTTAGCTTTTTGCTGTGAAATATTAAAATGCTTTTTAAGTTAAAAGATGCGAATCGCCATGGTCAGTGTGTCTAAAAAATTACTTTTGGCGTGGACGTACAAGGCATGCGACCACATGCCTTTCCCAGGAAGGCTTGATAACTAGAAAATATTTTACCAATTTTTGTTGTAATACTTTCCTGTTGGATATCACTACAAATCTAAGAGTAATTCTTTGTATATCACCACTAACCTAAGAGGTATCACCACTAAACCTAGGAATAATTCTTTAGATATCACCACTAACCTAAGAGATATCACCACTAAACCTAGGAATAATTCTTTAGATATCACCACTAACCTAAGAAGAATTCTTTGGATATCACCATTAACCAAAGAGTAAATCTTTGGATATCACCACTAACCTAAGAAAAATTCTTCGCATATCACCACAAACCTTAGAGTAAATCTACATTAAATTACCAGTCCATTATGTCATGCCTTTTTTTCTTGTTTAATAGCTAGGTATTTTTTTCTTGTTTAATAGCTAGGTATTTTTTTCTTGTTTAATAGCTAGGTATTTTTTTCTTGTTTAATAGCTAGGTATTTTTTTCTTGTTTAATAGCTAGGTATTTTTTTCTTGTTTAATAGCTAGGTATTTTTTTCTTGTTTAATAGCTAGGTATTTTTTTCTTGTTTAATAGCTAGGTATTTTTTTCTTGTTTAATAGCTAGGTATTTTTTTCTTGTTTAATAGCTAGGTATTTTTTTCTTGTTTAATAGCTAGGTATTTTTTTCTTGTTTAATAGCTAGGTATTTTTTCTTGTTTAATAGCTAGGTATTTTTTTCTTGTTTAATAGCTAGGTATTTTTTTCTTGTTTAATAGCTAGGTATTTTTTTCTTGTTTAATAGCTAGGTATTTTTTTCTTGTTTAATAGCTAGGTATTTTTTTCTTGTTTAATAGCTAGGTATTTTTTTCTTGTTTAATAGCTAGGTATTTTTTTCTTGTTTAATAGCTAGGTATTTTTTTCTTGTTTAATAGCTAGGTATTTTTTTCTTGTTTAATAGCTAGGTATTTTTTTCTTGTTTAATAGCTAGGTATTTTTTTCTTGTTTAATAGCTAGGTATTTTTTTCTTGTTTAATAGCTAGGTATTTTTTTCTTGTTTAATAGCTAGGTATTTTTTTCTTGTTTAATAGCTAGGTATTTTTTTCTTGTTTAATAGCTAGGTATTTTTTTCTTGTTTAATAGCTTTGCTCTTATTTTAAAAAGATTTTGTGTGCAAAGTTTCAACCAAAACAATGAGCTGGTTTTTTTATATGACTTGGTTTTCTTAAAAATTTTACAAAATTTTCCTATTAAAATGAAAAAATTGGCAAAAAAAGACTTTTTTCCAAGTAGAATTCAAAAAATGCACTTATTAAGCTTTGATTTCCAATACAAAGTTTATCCATTTACATGGCTTCTGATGTAAGTACTTGGTTTCAATAGGGTTGTTTGAAACTTTTTTGCGCTCTCTACCATTTTACAGTATTGCTAATTTCATCATATCGTGACTTTTTGTGATATGTGTCAAAATTTCTATATAGCATTAAAGTCAAATTCATTTTTTAGTTGGCATTGGTTGTAAAAGCTTTAACAATTTTTTTACTGTCCTCTACAACCAGTAAATAAATGTATCTTGGATGGATCAAGACATTTTGTGTATTAATGAAAATATTTTGAGCACTAAGGTTGCATTACACCTATTATTGTCTGAAAGTAATGTAAAATATGTTTTAATAATAGTTATTTGCTAAATTGAGTTGATATATTAATAGTTATTTACTAAATTGAGTTGACAATTATTTCCTGCAAATGTAATTGGTTCTTCTTAGTATAGTCAACCATAAACTTAATTGTCAGGAATTCACTTGCTTCAACAGTATTTTGCTTTAGAGTTATTTTAAGTCTTATGTTTATTATAAGGTTATATGTCCAAGTTTTTGAAATTTTCTAAGGTCTTGAAATTTGACCAAAACCTTTGTTTAATATTCTTATCACCTTTATGTGATGTGTCAAACAAATTAATTTCAAAGTGTCATAATTTTTTTACCAAAAAAAAAGTTTTATTAAAGGACTTGTGAGAATGTTAGTGAACACTTGGCAATTTTTAACTACTTTCTCACAAAGTATTATTGAAATGATCTTGCTTCAAAAGAACTATTCCATGGTTTTCTCAGAATTTAAGCTATTAATTGGCATAAAAAAATTTTTCCTCTACAAAAACATTCTAATATGATGTTGTTGAGAAAAAACCTAAATTTCTTGATTTTAAACTATAAAAATAATAAAGAATCCATACAGTCTATTCCCTAGAGAAACCATCGTAGAGTCTATTCCTTAGAGAAACCATCACAGAGTTTTGAAAGTTTTAACAGTTTTTTAAAACTTAAAAAAATTAAACCTTTGTCATCACAAGAATATCTCAAAGCTCTACATTATTATAGTCTTTTAATTATTAATTTACATTATTAGTCATTATTTATTTATTAAATTACATTATTAGTCATTTGTTTATTAATTTTTATTATTAGTCATTATTTATTTATTAATATACATTATTAGTCATTTATTAATTTACATTATTAGTGATTATTTATTTGATAATTTACATTATTAGTCATTATTTGTTTATTAATTTACATTATTAGTCAATTATTTATTTCATTTTGTTTTTGTTTTTGTTTTATAGTAAAAATTTAATTATTTTATTAGCTCGTGAAGACCGCCATATTGTTGTAAAATACAGTAATTTTCCCCATAAAAAAATATGCATATTTGAAGCTCATCAGTGTGTTGATTTAAAAATACATGGCGATTTTTTGATAACTGCTGGTTATGACCGTACAATTAAGATTTGGTATTGGAAAAATGGTCATATGGTTGCATCTTTAGAAGGTTCCATAAAACCAGGTAAACTTTTTAGATAACTTATTTGTTATTAGTTATATCTAGTTTTGAGGTAATTGTTGTGAATTTTATAGTTAACCTGAAGTTTACTATCTAAACCAAATTTTATATATCAATATAATCTCTCTATAAAGTCTTGTATAAACTAATGTTTTGCATATAGATTTTTTTAAAATTAAGATGTATTTGTTTTAATTTATTATTATAATATATTAATATATATGAATTTATTGCTAAAAATTAGTGTACAGCATTGATATCGCAGATAACATGTTATTTTCTTCTGATGGCAGACATGTTATTACATGGAACATGCAAACTTTTACCATGTTGGTCAAAACGCTTTGTTTTGAAAATGGTCACATACAAGAAGTAAAAGTTGTAAACCCTTCATTGAGCAATCTCTGTAAATGTTATGATAATTACATCCTGATTACGCGCTCCAATAGACAGCTGAAGGTTTTCTATTATTATTATTAATTTTTTAATTAAAATTCAAAATAGTTTTAGAAAGAGTGCACAGTAGCCCAAGAAAGTTTAAGACATTTAATAAATAAAATTTATCAGCAAATTTAATTTAGCTTATTATTACCTAATTTTTCTAATTTTTTTATCACTACTTTGAAAAATATCTGTACAACAAGTAATGTTGCACATAACATTTTATACATAATTAGTTAATTACATTTAGCCTGTTGCTGGCTTATTGTTGGTATATAGTAGAAAATATATATATGCAGGTGTATTCTAAATATATTAATGTAGTTATTTATTTTTTTGATGGCAATTGCACATTTAATCATATCAATGGTTTCTTATAAAATTCAAGTAACCTAATGTAGTTATTTGTTCCAGAAATATGTTTAGCAATCTTCAGGTCTTAGGACCATCATAATAAATAATTACTATGCTACAAGTGACATGTAATCAAGTACAAGCTGCCCCAATGGCTAGAATTGATGACTTGATAAAATATTCACTCTGGGCAGATATTATTTTAATCTGGCAACTGTCTTGTAGAAGACATAGTATTGAAGGGTATGCAGAAAACTTCTGTTGACCAAATTCACACGTTTTTTTTTTTTTATTTTTCATTATTTTTTAGGCTGGCATAGATAAAAAAACCTGTATTACATTATTTCTAGGATGATGATTTTTTCTTGTCCCTGCTTGGTAGTAGCTGATTCTATCAAAAGCTGTAAAATGTCAGAGTAATTTTAATGCATGGAAGGGTCTCTTTTAATGCTTTTAGAGTGTATTGTTGAGGACACATAAGGAGTCCTTTTCTATAACTTGAGATTGATTAACATAAATGAAATACCTGCTTCTTTCTTAGGGTGCCATACACTATTTATTATAGAGTAAAGTTCTCTATCAAAAACATAAATCAATATACCTAAACAAATTAAACAAAAAAAAACACTATTAACCCCAAATTGTTTAAGTATATTTTTTACAAATATTTGTGGTCAGATGAAAACGGATGAAAAGAAACTTTTCATCTGTTGAATCTTTTTAAAGCTTTTAAAAAATTTCACTAGATCTACTAGCTCTTTGTGAGATTTTGTATGAAATTTGTTACATCTTTAAATTTGTTTTATCTTTAAATTTATTTTTATCTATAAATTTGTTTTATTTTTAAATGTTTCACTTTTAAAATTTTAGTGTTGACGGCTTTAATTTTCAAAGGCTCCAACAGTCACATACGTTACCTACATATTAATTTATATACATATTCTGCATATTAAGTTTCTTATTGGTTTTAATCCTCTGACTATTTTTTTATGCTCTTTTGTATTTCTTTACTTTTTACTTTAACACCTCTCTATTCGAATACCTTTCTACACCTTTCTATCAAACACCTTTCTACTCAAACACCTTTCTACTCAAAAAAACTTTCTACTCAAAAACCTTTCTACGCAAATACTTTCCAATTACCTTTCTTTTTGTTTTTTATTGTTCACTTTCTTCCAAACTGCATTCTTTTTGATGTTATTTCTGATCAAAATGACCAAGCCCTTTCTCATTATATCTCGGCTAATATCTTTGTTATTGTTGTTGTTGTACCGCTGCTCCTGCTGGCTCTGAAGGGTAAAATTCTTTCTCAATCTATTACTTGGGTAGTTAACTTAGCAACTTGGATATATAACCTTATAATACATATTAAACATAAAATAATTCAAGACAAGTTACTTACAAATCACTAAAGCTCTTTAACTTCTTTTGTCTCTCTTGTCTCTAACTCTGCAAATCTTGAAGTCGCAATCTAATAGAAGTCTCATTGCAATCTTATAGAAGTCTTGTCGCATTCTAGATCTAACTAATAGTTTCATAACTATTAACTTTTTTTTTACTTTCACTTTTCTTGCTTGGTAAATATTTTTTTTGCATAGAAGCTTTGCACACAAAAAATGGTACAGTTGTTTTATGTATTTTTTTATTTTATTTTTTTGCTTTGGGCTGCGTCTTTACAACTTTTTTTTTTTAATTTTTCTACGTAAAATATTTTAGTTTTTAAAAAATTTTTTACGTAGAACAATTTTTGAAATAAGTAATTTATAAGTAACTTTTCAGAGAGAAAAGTTTTTAAAAAAAAGTAATTTAAGCTAATTGTCTGCTTCTTGGCCTGCTATGCATGCTGGTTTTAAGCTTTTTTTTTTTTTTTTTTTTTTTGTTATTTGGTATAAATATTTGTTCTAGAGTATAACATTTACCTTCTCTTTTAGTTTTTTAAATATAGTTTTTGCATTGTTTACTATATTATAAGGTCTTTAGATGTTATAACTTTTCATATAAGTTTACTCATTTAATATTAAATCAATTTTTTATAGGTTTTATTTAACACATGAGAAATATATAACTTATGGGAAACACAATGGAAACATAGTTTATTTAAAAATTGTATTCAGAGTTATAATTATTAGATAGGAGTTTTCTTGCTATAAAAACAGACCAGATTTACATTTAAAAATTGTTATTGTCCTAAGTCTTTTACATGTTTATAATTTATTTTAATCTAAATTATTCTTAATTTTAATTAGAAAAAAGTTTTTAAATAGGATTTTAAAACGAAACTGTTTCAGTGTTGACCTTAAATTGTTAATAAAACGTTTATTTTTACCAATTTTTTGCTTCTTTTCCGAAATTTCCATAATACTTTTTGACTAGGGTTTAACTGGCAATTTTTTTATTCAAAATATTATAGGATCCCGATTTATATAAGATCTTGTAAGATTAAATAAAATAGTATCAGGTAATATAGGTTCATATAACATTTTTAAGTTGTTAAATGGTTTTTCCAGAAAAATATTTTGAAAACTGATTTTTAGGTATGGCAATGCATGAAGTCGGGGGCTCTTTCTTTTCTTAATGATTTAGTTATTCCCAATTGCGAAGTGAATAGTTTTCAGCCGTTTATTTGTGTTCACAGAGATGTTATTGCATGCTCTTCAGAACACGGTGTTTGTTTATGGAGCTTGATTGACTTTAAGCTGATAAGATGCATTCCGCCGAAACTTTGTCATCCATGTGCTTTTAATCAACTTATTTCATCCAAACAACCGACAAATTGCCGTGTCATTTTGCTTTACTACTCGCACAATCTCACGATGCAATATTTAGTTCATAAAAACAAGTTTCAGATGGCTGGAGTTCAAGAAAAAACTAGGTTAAAAGTAAACTGGAAATTTCCGTCTGATGAAAAATGGCCTTGGTCTCATCGTAAACCTGGAATGGCTTGCTCAATATTAAATGCAGAAAATGGACTCACGACTAATGTAAAAGTCTCCATGTTTGTTGCTACTCAGGCAAAAAAAATTTACTGCACTTTTTTTGATGCGTCAGATTTTGACTATACTGTTATAGATGCTTCAAACATAAAACTGTAATTTAGTATTTGTTTTGTTGATGTTAGTGCTCGTTCCGCGTTGCCTTGCGCTTGCACACTACACTTGCTCCGTGTTGCACTTTAAAATTTTAAAATCTATATTGATATACATTAGTGACGCTAAAGAGCAACATATCATCGTCCCCATACACACACTCTTATTTTAAAAAAATTTCCTAATAAAGTAGTTTTTTTGCCGAATTCAATTTAAAAGAACAATTGTTTAGATCATTCTATAAAATTTTTTTTTAATTTTTCAACAAATTCGTGGATATAAATAAATTAAAGTTGATGTAAATATAAATTTTTTCTTTGTCTGGTATTTATTTTATTACGTAATCTTTTTAATAAGATAAATTTGCACTCTTATTTTTTGTAAATATAAAAAGAAAATATTTTTTAACGGGTGTATTAAAAGTTTGTTTTTGTAATGGCTGTACAAAATTGTTTTTTTAACTTTTGTTGATTTTGTTTTTAATTAAACTCCTTAATCGATTATCACAAGCGAAATCACATAATCACATACAAGTTTGTTCTGAACACAAACTCTTGTTGTTTTTTTAAGTAAAAGGTTTCAAATTTCTTGTTGTGTTTCGATTTTCTTTAATCTTGTGTTCTATTTGTGTGTTAACGTGTGTCCTATTTGTGTGTTAACGTGTGTCCTATTTGTGTGTTAACGTGTGTCCTATTTATTCAAAATAATTTCTCTAATATTTTACTAACTCAATAAAAAATACTAATTAAATTAATAAAAACTCTAATTTAATAATAAATTAATCTTAAAAGAAGAAAGTATTATATAATAAAATTATAAATTTATATTTAAAAGCCAATATTTTATAGTCTGATGTTTTATTTTGATGTTTTTGAACGATCATTTATATATTGACCAAAGAAAAACTTTTGGTATTTTTTAAATTTATAATTATAGTGAATATACAAATATATATATAAACTTGGCTTTAACTATATTCTAGGAATTAAACTTAAAAATAAAATTTAATATGAAATCCACAAAAAGCTGATCAACTAAAAGTCCAATCTTTTGAGATTGATAAAAACAATGGTTTAAAAGCAATTTGTAAATTTTTCAAAATTTAAAATATCAAGAGGAGAAGCATCTTGTAAAAAAAATTCAAAATTTGATTTTAAACTTCTTTCATTGTATAGTTTGGATGCACAAGTGAAATAACTTCTATTCTAGATTTCACAAGTTATATAACTTCTGTTCTAGAATGGCACAAGTGATATAACTTCTGTTCTAGAACAGCGTAATTCCATTAATAAACAGCCCAACAAGAGTAACAGAAACACCAGCTTCCGTAATTGATAACATAATAACAACCGATATCTTTAACAATTCGCCTAAAATAGATATAATAAAAAATGACGTTTCTGACCATTTCCCTATTTTCTTTTCTCTAAATCTTGTTACCGAAATAATACAACAACAAAAACAAGTTTTCATCAAACGCTTTTTCAATGAATCAAATATCGAATCATTTAACGATCAACTATCCCTACTTAACTGGAAAAATATCGACTCTACATTAGAAGCAAACGTAGTCTTTAACACAAAACAAACAAAACATTTTACGATATCTATGACGCAAATTTCCCGAAAATCAAAATAATTAAATCAAATAGAAGCCTTAAATCACCTTGGATCAATAAAAACCTATATAAAGTTCTTAATTGTTCAATAAGTCAAGGAATTTTTCCGACGCAAATAAAGGTTGCAAAAGTGACCCCTATATATAAAGGTGGTGAACTAACAAATGTTGGAAATTATCGTCCAATTTTAGTTTTGTCAGTTTTTTCCAAAATTCTTGAAAGAATTTTAATTGATCGAATTTTTAATCATCTCTTTGAAAATAATATACTTTACAACAATCAGTACGGTTTGAAAAAAAAATAACTTTTTTTTTTACAGAACACGCAGTTCTTTTACTCACAAGAATTATTACTGACTCCTTCAAAAAATCACAATTTACTTTAGGTATTTTTATAGACCTATCTAAAACCTTTGATACTATTGATCACGGCATTCTTACAAATAAATTAGAACATTATGGTATCACTAATAAAGTCTTAATTTATTAAAATGTTACTTAAATAATCGTAAACAATTCATTCATATTGATACACACTCAACGACTAGTGCTTAAGATATATCATGTAGAATCCCCCAGAGTTCCATACTTGGACCACTGTCCAAGTATGGAACTCTGGGGACTAATTTATATAAATGACCTCTATAAAACTTCTAATTTAATAACAATAATGTATGCAGACGATACTAATCTTTTCATATCCCAAAATAACATCAATAACTTATTTAATAACATGAATGTAGAACTAAAGAAAATATCTGACTTTAAATCAAATAAGCTTTTACTTAATATTGAAAAAACTGAGTGGATTCTTTTTTATTCAGCATTTAAAAAGCATATACTGCTAAGTGAAATTCCGCCACTTTTGATTGATAAAATTAATATAAAAAGAGTAACTTATTACTGAATTTATTGGTGTTATTGTGGATGAAAATCGTTTATGGAAAAACCACATTGGAATCTAAATAATAAAATTGCAAAAAGTATTGGGATTCTATATAAAACAAGAAGCATTTTATATAAACATACTTTAATTCAACAATATTACTCATTAATTCACTGCCATATTAATTATGCTAATATTGCCAGGGGTAGTACCAACAAAATTAATTTAAAGCCTTTGCTTTGTCAACAGAAGCATGTAGCACGTCTTATTAGTTCTTAAAAATCGTTTTACTCATGCCAGGCCTTTATTATTTAACATGAATATTCTTAATATTTACGAAGCAAATATATTTAACGTTCTTTGTTTTATGCTTAATTGCAAAATTAATACATGTCCTGTTTCTTTTCATAATTTATATTCAATAAAAGAAAAAAATAAATATATATTAAGAAATAATAAACATATCTAACAACCAATTTTTAAACGGTAGTGTACATTGTGACAATTATGAACGGTAAAAACGGAAAAAAATAAATATATATTAAGAAACCGGTAAAAACGGAAAAATATATATTAAGAAACCGGTAAAAACGGAAAAAAATAAATATATATTAAGAAATAATAAACATATCCAACAACCAATTTTTAAAACGGTAATGTACATTGTGACAATTATGAACGGTAAAAACGGAAAAAAACGGAACGGAAAAAAATAAATATATATTAAGAAACCGGTAAAAAAGGAAAAATATATATTAAGAAACCGGTAAAAACGGAAAAAAATAAATATACATTGTGACAATTTTTTATGTAGTTTACTTTAGCATTTTTATTATTCTCATGACTTTTATCGAAGCATTTTAATCAATTAAAGCATTTTAATCAATTAAAGCATTTTAATCAATTAAAGCATTTTAATCAATTAAAGCATTTTAATCAATTAAAGCATTTTAATCTATTAAAGCATTTTAATCTATTAAAGCATTTTAATCAATTAAAGCATTTTAATCAATTAAAGCATTTTAATCAATTAAAGCATTTTAATCAATTAAAGCATTTTAATCTATTAAAGCATTTTAATCTATTAAAGCATTTTAATCTATTAAAGCATTTTAATCAATTAAAGCATTTTAATCAATTAAAGCATTTTAATCTAATTAAATTCTAATTAATCTAATTAAAGCATTTTAATCTATTAAAGCATTTTAATCAATTAAAGCATTTTAATCAATTAAAGCATTTTAATCAATTAAAGCATTTTAATCAATTAAAGCATTTTAATCTATTAAAGCATTTTAATCAATTAAAGCATTTTAATCAATTAAAGCATTTTAATCAATTAAAGCATTTTAATCAATTAAAGCATTTTAATCAATTAAAGCATTTTAATCAATTAAAGCATTTTAATCAATTAAAGCATTTTAATCAATTAAAGCATTTTAATCAATTAAAGCATTTTAATCTATTAAAGCATTTTAATCTATTAAAGCATTTTAATCAATTTAAGCATTTTAATCTATTAAAGCATTTTAATCAATTAAAGCATTTTAATCTATTAAAGCATTTTAATCTATTAAAGCATTTTAATCAATTAAAGCATTTTAATCAATTAAAGCATTTTAATCAATTAAAGCATTTTAATCAATTAAAGCATTTTAATCAATTAAAGCATTTTAATCAATTAAAGCATTTTAATCTATTAAAGCATTTTAATCTATTAAAGCATTTTAATCAATTAAAGCATTTTAATCAATTAAAGCATTTTAATCTATTAAAGCATTTTAATCAATTAAAGCATTTTAATCAATTAAAGCATTTTAATCAATTAAATAATTTAAAATACTTTTAAAATGTATTACATTCTCAATATTTTATGCTTATCTACTGCTAATTCAATGGATTACTTGAGACAATACATAAGCTGTTGTAATGCTATTTAGATTATGATAGTACAAGATGAAGTTGCTTAAGATGATACGTTTTTAGACGCTCAAGATGAGATGCGGCTTTTTATTACGAAAAGCGCGTTTTTTAAAGTTATTTATTTTGGTATTTCAAGAGCGAAAGTTTTTTCAAAAAAAAGTATCATTAACTTTTTTAGAGATTTGAAAGATTTATTATTATTTTTTTTTTATAGTTGAGATAATTACTTTTTACTTAAATATAGTCTGAAGATAGAATTTAATTTAATTTATTTTGTGATTATTTTTTTGTTATTTTGAGTTTTTTTGAGTTTAAAAAAGCTCATTTTAGGAAACTGGTTTCCTAAGATGAAACGATTGGTTGTGCTGAAGAAAACGCAATTATAGAGATTTTTTTTTTTAATGATCTACTTATTTAAGTTCTTTGAAAGGAAAATTTAATTTATCATTATTCTTAAAAAAATATATATCTTTTTGTAATCTTTTTGGAGCAAAATATATTACACTGAAAAAATGCTCAACTTAAGCCAATTGAAACACAACAAAGAAACTATGGATAAATCAAAGTTCAAAAATTTGACAAAGTTGCAGTTAAAAGAACGTATCTAGAAAAACAGGTTGAAAAAACTGTTCAATTTTTCAAATATACAATGCCAATTTAGTATTTCCAAAAGGTGGTTACAAAGAACTAGTAGAACTTACTCACATCTACTTATGCCCAGATGTAAGCTTTAATGTTTATGCTCCCGGATCAGTTTCCCATGCATGCTTTATGGCAAAGTCTAATATATTATCTTAAAATTCAAGATTTAAGTAATCGTTGTTGTACCAATTGACAGCTTGTTTACAAAAAAAAATCAATAAAATAGCAGAATTTATTTATATATTTTATACTGAGCGGTTTGTGCGTTTCTATTTAGTTTCCTCTCCACCTTTTCAAGAAATAAAAGCATACTGGCAGATGGTCCAGTATAAAATTTGGGTAGAATCTTATGACCCAGGAGCTAATGATGTTGAGAAAGAATCGAAGAAATATTGAAATCAATGGAAAGACATATGGGGTATTTGGATCAAACCTTGATTCCATTATGTCTTGCAGATAAAGAACTGGAAGATGGTGAGAAAGAAAAATTTGGAAAAGTTCTTTTCTCACAACCAAGATATAATGTTGACCGTTCAGTAAAGTAAAGATCAAATCAGGAAGTTCGAAAAAGTACCAACAACAGTAAGTAGCAAAAAAAAAAAAAAATGGCGCTTACAAAATATAATTTGGAGAACATATTCGATTTTTATTAAGAGCATAAAAAAAGATTTGTTGAGTTATAGTTGTACAAACTGTTTTTGACAAAAATTTTGTCTTGATTATTTACTAATTTATCATTTTTGATCTTAACAATGTCGTTATATAAGTTTCTTAGCAGAGAAATATTATTTTTTTACCTTAACTATCTAAACTACTTGAGAATGAACAAAATAAAATTGTTTCATTAAAACGCATATTTTGCAGCATTTGAAAATCTAATCCAACTTTATGTAAAAATAAAACTTCAAAGCAGATGGCACAATGTCTTTGGGGGCCTCAATTTAAAAAAAAAAAAAAAAAATTCAGCACTTTTCTGTTGCTCTGACAAATCCTTTGACTTCCCCATCTGAAATTTATCATTAAATTTTCAATCTTATTTTTTTTTTTTTTTTTTTTTTCAAGTTAATGTCTTTTAAATATTTGTAAATAAAAAATGTTTTAAAACTATATAGATCATTTAACTTCACAAAAGAACTTAAAATAAAATAATACAATAACATTGTTCTTATAGCTTTAATAACTTATTAAAACCGCCTGGTATTGATATGTGTCAAAATATCTCTAAATAATAGAAATCTGTATTATTGACCGTTTTCTGCCTCTTATCTTTTTTCAAGGTGGTAGGCAACCCTTATCACAAAAATATCAGTTTTGACTTATAGTGATAGCTAAGGTTTTACTTTAATTTAAAAATACCATCTAATAATTTGAGCAGGGACTGTATTTTATAGTTAAATATGTCAATAAGATGTTTTGATCTAATTGAGATCCCAATTATATTGTATCAAATTTGGTGCACACAAAAATAGCGCGCACTCAATCAAGCAACATTAAAAAAGTGTCAATTAAGGCGCAAGGCGTTGTAACTGCTGTGTAGACCTAATAAAATTTTATAAAAACATGTGTTATACAAATAATGTTGGAATATAAATTTTGCTCTTCTACTCACTTTAATTATGTTAAGTGGTTGGAAAGTAAGAGAAGGTACAGTAAGTCATATGATTTTTATTAATCAAAGGGTGTTTGAAATTTATTATTTGTCAAATGTAAAATATGAGCATAACAAAGAATTTTTTTGAAAAATGTATTCAAGTCAAAAAAACTTAAATTACATTTCTGAACTCATTCTTGGCCCATTGTCTTATGATAATTAATACCTTACTATCTTATATCTTACTTAAACATTACTATCTTCTACAAAATGCTGTTATCCAGCTTGCTTTCATTGGATAAGGGCAACTCAAATTTCTTAAAATAGTCTTTCTCATAAAATGAAATTTAGTATCTATGCTGGTGATAGCTGTTTTGCAGCCTTCTTGTATGGTGTTTTAGTTCGAGAAAACTAGTTTTATCAATTTTGCTCTCCACTAGGAGCATCTTTTGTTACTTTTTTCATTGTCATTAAGAACTCAAGGATAGGTAGTACTTTTATTTTTTCCATAATTCTATTAAACCTAGAATTATTTTTTTCCTTTATAATCATTGATTTTAGATCGAGGTTATGCAACAGTTTTGTTGGTAATCTCTTCATTCATACCGTAAGGTATGGACTATTCAGAGTTAGCTACAGCAGAGATAAAAATTGTAGGATTTAACTATCAACTATATTTTTCTCTTTTGCCAAATTATATTGCTGCTGTTAGTCTACGGATGGGCTATCCGCCAAACAAAGTGCTGTTGCTGAAAAGATGTTAAAAATTTAATATTATTAATAAAATATTGCAAAATATAAAAAATAGTTCTTTTTATTTCTGAGATAATATTATCTAGATGTCATGATAAATCTAATGTGGTAAGTCTTAAAATTAATTTAAAAAATTGATAAGTATTTTATGAATATCACGACTGTTGTACGACTGTAGTACGACTGTTGTACGACTGTAGTACGACTGTTGTACGACTTGTGTTGTGCTTATTAAAATGTCTTGCTTCGCTAAAAAGTAGTTTGCATTTTACTGACAACCAAAATTTGTATTTATAAAATAATTATAAATTGTATTTATAAATACTTGCATTTTTTTTGTTAATTAATAATTAATCTGGTTAATTTTTAATTAACTATACTTCAGAACTATTTAGTATTTTAACTAATTACATTATTATTCACTTTAGTATTTTAACATAATAAAAGATTCTTTAGCATATAAAACAGTTGCGTAACATTTCGTCAGGTGTTTTCGGAAACTTAAGGTCATCCGTTTTTTCACGGGAACGAGAAAGGGACGCGAAAAATAATCACTTGGGCATGCGTAGAATAACTTTTAATATGTCTGAAGAAAAACTACGCATCCTCACGTGATTATTTATCCCGTTCCTATCCCGTTCCCGTGAAAAAAAGGATGAGTGGAAACTCACTTTTAGGCTATGATAATAACATTTTAACTCTCTCATAAGAATTTATTTAAAAAGCAAATTTTGACGTTGAAAGATGGGCCCAAGAGGCCATGTTATTCAAATAAGTTAGCTTAATCTGTTTGATATTTTTTATAAAAGCCGTTTTTTTTAAAGAAAAACTCTTAACAAATTCATATACATTCATTTTTACTGCGGAATTAGGTAAATAAATTTTTAAAACTGTGCTTTGTGCAATCGATATGGGAACCGTCTTGATCAAACAAAAGATGATAAAAGTATAAATGGTTTCCATTCAAATATAAAAAGAAAACGGAAAGATAGGGCCAACTAAACTATAAGTGACCACGTCCTATTAAGAGCTGCTTTTTTGAGGGCTCTATTCAAAGATTTTTTAAACAGGTTGATTAAATATTTGGATTTTTTCTTCAGCTATTAGTAATATAAATAATATGCAAAATATATTTTTACCTATAGTATATAAATATAATATTTATATTATGTTGAAGATATCGTTTTTTTTTTTGAGTATTAAATAGCCGGTTTTGGATTTTTTTAAATATTTACAATTGTTTTGATGATGGAATTTTTCAGGTTTAGTTAATTTAAAACATTTATTTTAAAATTTAAGTCATAGAGTTATCTTTTAAACACTTTTTTGAACTGCAAATAAAAAGTTTTAGAATTTTGAAAAGCTTTGTATAGCACCACTCACAACGCCCAATTATTGGCTGCATATTGTACCAATTTGTAGCAATTACAATTTTTCAATATTACCTAAATGTTTATTTGTTTGTTTTTATTTTTTATTGTAAACTCAGTTAATTTTTGTGCTGATACAAGCATAATAATAAGAAATTTATTTAATTGACTCATTTAGTTATTCAAATACTTGCTTCTTTTATTTGTGATGTAGAACAACAAAATAATAATAACAATATCTCTGAAAAACTCAGACTATTAAAGAAGCAAAGTATTGTAACCTAAGTATTAAACTTACTTAAGGTAATGATACTCTGTTCTTTAATGATTTATATTATTGTTATTATTATTATTATTATTATTATTATTATTATTATTATTATTATTATTATATATTATTGTTATTATTTTTATTATTATTATTATTAATATACTATTGTAGTTATATGATTGTAAATTTTGAGGAGAATAAATATCTTGTTGTAGTTGTTGTTTATATATGACATAAAATTTTTTTTATTTTTGAAAATGTTTCAATTTTTTTTTAATGAGAAATTTTATACAAATAATGAGTTATATGAAATAAATGTTGCACGCAAATGTGGTAGTATTAAAACGCAAACCATTATATAATAATAATGGTTTTCCAAGTGAAGACGCGTCTTTAGCGGATACGATTCGTCCAACCGCCACGTTAACGCCGCAGATCGAGCTGACTGTAAAGAATACAAATATGGCGAATAGGATAGCACTAATAATTTTTTTAAATTTATTTTTTAAAGCCGAAAGTTTATCATTTACTCTATCTGCTAGAAATAAAAAATGTTTAAGAGAAGAGGTTCATAAGGACGTTCTTGTTACTGGTGAATACCGTTTATCTGAAGCTCCTATTAAAACCCATTTAACGGTAACTATAGCTCTTGATTGTTAAACTTTTACAATTTATAAAAACCTGAAACATGTGTTTTTTTATAATTTGAGATAGTTCTCTTGATATTTACGCTATAAAAATTGTAAAATAACTTGTTATTCAATATAGGATGTTAGTTGTTTTCTCACTTCACTTATTGGTCTTAGTAATATTATAAAAATTAGTTTTTAATACTGTTATTTATATTAGTTTGTATTATTACTAATATATTTCTTCATTGAGTTTATATAACATAATAATAATAAGGAAAAATTAGAGAAAATTAGAGTATGATACTGTCAAAATGTTTCACATTTTCGAAAGTATCATACTATGTCCTTACTTCTTCGATGTATATGTTGCTACTATGAATTTAATGTAAGTTTCTAAATAAATCTCTGTATTCCATTGATTATTTTGAAAATCATGGCAACCTATGTAACTCTGTTAATAAAGTCATGAAATCAATCATCTATTTTGGTTAGTCTATATAAAAATCAAAAACATCGGTTTTACATTAAAACTGGTAGTTACGTCTTCAGCCCTTTTAACTTTTCTTTAATATTCTGCCAGGCATTATTTTCTTTGCAATTAGCTCTTCTCTAAATTCAGTCTCTACACATAGTATATTTTTCATTCATAACAGATTATTTAAAAACATTTTTCTGGTAACATTGATCAACTGTTTTGGAATTGTCTATATCTTTACATTACAAATATTTCTTTTAGCTCAAAAGGTTATTTAACAGCTTTTCAGAAACTGAAACCAAAATGCATGTTTTTTTTTATAAAACAGATAGTCCAAAAAATCCTGACGTTTCTTATTTGTTTGTGTTCTGTTTATATCTCTGGTGTGGTTTTAGTTCTAATATGGTGTTAATTCAGTGACTACAAATGTATAACAGACTGTTTACCTTAATTTCCGGTTTCCCTTTAGAAGCTAGAAAATTTCTTGTATTTCTATTCAAAATCAACTAAGCATTGTGGCAGATTACTATTTACAGAAGTAGATTATCTTAACTATTACTTTAATCTCTTCTAACAAACATTGTTTGATACAACATTTTTTCTAATTTTTCTAAGATTATGCCTCCTTTTCTTGTCTTGCCGAGTCACATCCATCTGATCATATTTTCTTTCATCAAATACCACACCATATAAATACTAAAGTTAGATAATATTGAATAGATATTATATGCCAGCATCTAAATAAATAGCAAACATATATGTTTATATCCATAATATGTATGCACAAAATGCATCTTGGAGGCTTTTATCTCTTCTGGAATAAAAGTTTGGAATCTTTTATTACTTCTCTTTAATTTCAAGTCAAGCCTCATTTAACTCCACATTTTTCAACAATCATTTTTTTCATTTTATTTACAAGAACATCTCTCTTAAAAACAGCTAATGTAAAAAAGTCCTGTCTGATTAAGCTCTGTTATTCTCAGTTTACTAAATTTTGTTGTTCTCATTTACTAAAACTCTAATTTGGCTCTTGAATATAATGGCCATACTCGCCCTGGCAAATAAACAGATTAACCCATTGTTAAACATTGAAATCACTCTGGCTTCCAATACTAAAATTAATTCTCAATTAACCACTTCTATAGTTTGCTTCAGACAAGATTTCTATCATAGTCTTAAAAAAGTGTTCTCCTGAATTCTCTTCAATTTTTGCTAAACTTTTAAAAAGTTCTACATAAGTGATTCCAAAAAAAGAAGTTTGTGGGTGTTAAGCCAAACAAGTTTGTTATTTTATTAGGTTGTACTCTATTGCTAACCTTTTTATATACAATATTTGCTGTTGTCGGAATGCACTGCAAAACTTTATTTGAAAATTTTGAGAAATAAATTTTACAAGCAAGTTGCAGAGAAAATCCTTAAAATTGTTGAGAAAATCCCAATTTTCAAGGAGTTTTTTTTAAGAGACATTTTCACAGTTATATTGCGGCGATAACAATAATATTTATTTCAAGTTTTGCACAAATTTGCAATTGCAATTATTTCAAGTTTTGCACAATAAATTAGAGTTTTTTATGTTATTTTTCTATTAGTTTTTAAAAATAACAAATTTTCATGAATAACTAATTTTAGAAATATTATTAAACTTAATTCTTCTTTTCAAGGCATGCAGTCAATTTTTTTTTAGTGAATTGTTTCTTTATAAGTTGACCAAGTCCTTCACTTCTTGAATTTATGTAGTGTATCTGACCCTAGGTTTTACTTTCTTCTTTTTCTACTGTGGTTTGGACCTTTCTATGATCACACTCACTCTTATAATCTCATTCAAACACTTCTTTCTACTACCTCAAAGTTGACTAAAACTTCTTTTGTGATTTTCCTATGTAGCAGTACTTAAGTTGAAGTCTTTCATCTTTCTACGGATGATTGCACCTCAAAATTTACTTAATGGCAAGCATAGAGGTTTTTATTCCTTCTTGTTATTTTCAAGTCAAGACTCACTCTACCTCAAGTCCATAGTCACTCTACCTCATGGTTTTCACCTTTACGGTTGCTATTGCTAATCGTAATTTCTTTTTCACAAGAACAGCTCTCTTCAAAACAATCGTTTTTTTTTTTTTTTTGTTTTTTTTTTGTTTTTGTTTTTTTTACATAGCAGGAAATCAATGCAACTAAGTTCTGTCTGAAACTGAGCTCCATAATTATCATTTAACTAAAGCTTGTATCTTATCTCAGAATTTAGGTCCTAGAGATTTTTGGAAAATATTTAACAGTGTTATTAACAGAAGCAAGTCTAATATTCCATCTCTAATACATGGTTCTGATTTTATTACCTCTCCCAAAGATAAAGCAGAACTATTTACAAAGAACTTTTCCTATAATTTATTTTTTTAATCTAATGACCACACTCTGCTTGTCATCCCTGGAAAACAGGTTAATCTATTGTTAGACATAAAAATCTTTGGCTTCTGTTGCTAGAGTTATTTATTTAGCTAATCCAGACAACATTCCTGCGATAGTCTAACAAAAGTCTCTCTTCATTGTGCCTTACTCTCAATACCATTTTCTCTTTCTCTTTTTAACAAATATTATAATGGCCGCTGCTTAAATAAGCCATTAACCAAACCAATTTTCACTAATCATACTCAAATACTTATACTACATCTTTTGTAACTCTTCATTTAGTTTCTTTTTTGTTTAGCTTGTCTTTCAGTTGCTTTTATTCTATCTGTCCCTTGTGCTCAAGAAATCTTTATTCAGTTAGTTTTTTTCATTGCATATTAATGCTTCATTTTCATGCTATTGGGACTCATACAATTTACATTTTTAATGTTATGCATGTTTTCTCAACATATATAATTTTTATAAGTCTTCTGGTAACCATTTTCTTGCTTTTTACAAAATTCTTTGTTTTCTTGTAACTAAATTACTATCAGTTTTATTAGGAGTTCATTAGTTTTAAAAAAGAGCTGCACATTTTTTTTAGATTTTTTCTACTTAAAGGGACTACCAATTCCCGAGACATGTTGTGTTCATATTAAAGAGAATGTTAAAAAAAAACGTCTGAGCAAATTTTTTTTGATTAAAACTAATTAATAAATGTATACCAAGAAAAACAAATCTTGTTGTTTTAGTCGAAGCTTGTCTTCTCCGTTTTCTCTGGTATTTTGAGTATGTAAAATAAACGCGATTTTCCAGGCGCATTATACAGACTTGATAATTTATTCAAGCGCGTTTAATTCATAGGAGTTTTTGTGCATGACGTCATAGATTTTTTTGTTTGTTTGTTTAAAACACCGATTGTTATTTTTTACATACAATTTCCAAAGCATATTTATTTTTATTATATTTTAAAGTTCTAAAATGTGTTTGTAAAACAAAATTAAAAACAAAATAAAATTAAAAACAAAATAGTATTTTATTTGCGCAACTTTTTTTAAAAAACCGTCTAGACCACGTGTATTTTGATTTCTTTTGTTATAAGTTTTTCTTTCAAAATATTAGATAAAATAATTTTTAACCTAAATAATAATGCATTTTTATTAATTTACTTTGTAAATATTAAAAAAAAAATCATTAACACATTTTTTCTCTGACTTTCAAAAATGTATTTTTTGGTATTGAGGTGATCTTATTTCATTATTTATATTTCCATTATAACATCCAATATATATTATGGCAGGGGCTTAAAAATTAAAAAATTAATATATATTAATTTTTATTTTACAGACATACATGGAAACATAATTAACTTTAATGTTCTTAAAACATCTTGCGGAAGAATAAAAAGATTATTTGCGAACACTAAAAACCCGCCAAATTTGCGAACAAACTAATTCTATTAGTTCAAAAAACACGCTGACTAAGCGAAATAAAGTTCTAGAGTATTCTGTTGAAATGTTTTAGAAATTGTATTATTTACGATTTGTTGCGTTTTGAGATATCTAGCATAAATTTTTTTAAGAATATATTATCAAATGAACTATTACTTTAATATTATGGCTCATTCTCGGAGCCACATCTGTAAAGCCGTAAAACTTTTAAACTATTATCATTTGTTTACAAAAATAAATGTTTTATAATATATATTTTTTAAATTGTCAAAAATTTGAAAGTTAATTACAAATTATATATTTTATTAGTATATTCTAAATTTTTATATCTTTTCTTAGTGCTTGGTTTAATTAATTGTTCATTAGATTTGTAAAAAACTATCGAACAATTAATAAAATAACTAACTAAAGTTAGCTATTTAAGTAAAATTTAATAGTAAAATTTTTAAAGAATTTCTAGAATGTTTCCAATGACGTCATGCTCTAAAACTCCTATGAATTAAACGCGCTTGAATAAATTATCAAGTCTGTATAATGCGCCTGGAAAATCACATTTATTTTACATACTCAAAATACCAGAGAAAACGGAGAAGACGAGCTTCGACTAAAACAACAAGATTTGTTTTTCTTGATATACATTTATTCGTTTTAATCAAAAAAAATTTGCTCAGGCGTTTTTTTTTAACATTCTCTTTAATATGAACACAACATGTCTCGGGACTTGGTAGTCCCTTAAATGATGCTTTTTACTGGTCAAACTAAATAATAAAGTCTTAGGGTGCCAACTTTCTGTTTTAGAGATGTGAGGCAGCAGTCTGCTTCTCATATCTTATACTAAACCTGTTACTGTGTTACACCTTTGGCTTTAAATGCTTTTAGTGCATTTACTAACACAATTCTCAGAAATTTACTAATACAATTCTCAGAAATTTTTTAACTTTAAAGTTATTTCTCTGTTACTGATCATATGGTTTTTTTCATGAATATTTGAGCTTATCAATACTTTTAAAATTACCTATCATATGGTTTTTTCATTAATATTGGAGCTTATCAATACTTGTCAGGTTATCAATACTTTTAAAATTACTTCATTGACTAAATTGGTTATTATGTTATTATTTTTAATTTCACTTCCTATAGAAAAGTGTCAAAAATCATAAATATACTATCTAAATTAAATATATAAATTTTTATTCTATCTAATGGTATAACAAAAAAAAGTAATATATCAAAAAAATGATCATTAAAAAAAATTTGATCTTAAATCTACCACTTTGCTTCATTTCATATAAATATAATAACAAACACTATTATAACTAAAACTAAGTTAATAACTTAGAAAAATTAAACGCAATAATAAAGAAAAAAATTTCATTGAACTGTTAAAGTCAAATAAGTAGTTTAATGAATATGTTTTAATAAATAACTTGAAAAATAAAAAATATAAAAATTGTAAGCAATAAATACATACTCAATCAATACAATAAGTATTCTAAAAAAATTAATAATTTTTAAAATTTAAAAATTAATATATTTCTATTTTAACTGTACTTATGTCTTTGTAAAACTTTTTTAAGGGTTTTGTTTAGGGCATGTCACAAGGTGCCATGTTTTTAATTGTTCACAACTAATTCTATTCAAATGTTTTGATCGCAATATATGAGATTTATGAGTAAAGTAACAACAAAATAAACTTTTTATAAAATTTCAGTTGCTTTCTTAGAACTAGTCTAAATGAGAATTTAAAGTTATTCAATCGGTAAAAAATGTTGTACAATATATCAAATTTTAATTTAAGTTTTGTCCAAAATTTTGATTTTGTATTTGTTTTATTTATCAAAAATGTTATGTTTGTTTTACTTTTAAACAGCTTTAATTATAATATTTGTTATGTTTTAAGGTGATTGATACAAATGGCCATGTGTTGTACAAAAAAGAAGATGCACAAAAAGGAAAATTTGCATTCACCTCAGATGATTATGATATGTTTGAAGTTTGTTTTCAGAGTGAAGGTAAAAACTAAAGAATTCAAACCATTTTGAAAGCTTAAAAATTTATAGTAGCTAAGATATTTAGTTTTTAGATAGTTTTAGATAGTTGTTTATGACTATGTTCTTTAGAAAACACGTAAGTATGCACAACACTGTTCAACCATGTTCTAGAAAATACACACATTTTGTAATTTAGGAAAAGGCTTCTTTTTTCTTTTTTTTTTAATTAGCAGTACAAGTTAAACTTAATTTATAATTTTATAATAGGAACTCATGGCCAAGGAATAGATAGAGAAATATTTCTTGACATCAAGACTGGTGTAGAAGCTAAAAACTATGACGATGTAAGTTTAATATTTTATAGTAAAATATACTTTTCTTTTTCAAAATGAACTTATTTTTTATATTATTTTTTATTTATTCCTTTTTTGTTAATCCAAAAAGTATATTACAAGTATATTACAAGGTAATATCTAAGTGATTAACCCTACATTTTGATATAACTGGCAAAATTCTGGGCCTTGATTCCAAATCCAACTCCAAAGAAAAAGAAAAAAAAATACTTGATTTAAAAAAAAAAATTATAGCTTTTTTTTTTTTTTTTTTTTTTTTTTTTTTTTTTTTTTGTTATAAAAAAACAAAAATCAATTTCGTAATCATTTATAAAAATTAAGCATTTTATTTTAAAGCTGTTTAATTTTATTAGTCAAAAAAACATTTAATTTTTTTGGTATTTTATAATTGAGAGAAAAAGGAAAAACAAACGCAACATTTTTACCAATTTATTAAGAATTCAAATGAAACTTAGTTTCACAGATTTTATTTAATTATTTTATTTAGAAATAATAAAGTATTCTTTTTTTTTTCATTTTATTTGAACTAAAAATTGTCTTTTCGTTATTTTATAGATTTGAATAAAATGTTAGTTTTTTTTTGTTTTTTTTTTTATTATTATTTATTTATAATTTAATAAAAACGTTTTTTTTATTTTCTTTATCTTAATTATTTAATTTAGAATTTAATTATTAAATTTTATTTTAGTTATTTTATTTAGGGTTCAACAAAATTTTTAATAAAATCAATAAAGTCATTTAAAAACATTTCATTGTGTTTATATTAAGTAAAACGTTTATTTTAATGTTGTGTTTTTTAAATCAATTTGTTTAGAACTGCCTAAGTTCAGTCACTTTGAATTACCGTAAAATTGCCTAAGTTCAGTCACTTATAATTACCATAAAAGTTTGGTCCGCTATGAACATTTGTATCTTAGGCATAAATAAACATTTTTAAATTTTTTTTTCTGAATTGTACAGACAATTATTTGTTGATTTATATTTTTAAAATAAAATGATAAAAATAAAAATATGCATTCAGTATTTTCTTTCAAATGAAAAGTTTGATCAAGCTTTCAATACCTTCTCATAAGTTGGTAGCAGGTCATTAAAGCAAAAAAATGATAAAGCAATTTTTTTCTTTCTTTTTTTTTTTTTTCAACAGAACAGCCTGGTTTTTATCTTTGTTTTTAAAATGTTACTTTAAAATAACTTTTTAATAATAATTGAAAATAATATTTTATTACCACTTTTTTATTATTATTATTATTATTATTTTTTTTAATATTTTATTACCAATTTTTTATTATTAATTTTACTACTTTAAGTGTATATTAAAATTTATATTAAATTCGTTTTTATTAAAAAAATTTTATTAGTTATTGAATGCTAAAAGAAACCAAACATTTAACATTCTTTGCTTCAACGACCTGGAACCCATAAGTACAGTCACTAACACCTGATGACTAAAAAATGAGACAACTTTAAAATTGTTATTACAGCTATAGTTACATAACTATCAAATTTAATTTAAAATAAATTTATAAACAATTATATGATATTTAAAAATATATATTTATTGGTTTTCAATAACATCATTAAAAGCAATTCGACCTAAACGAACTGAAGTCATTGAGGCATAACGTTTTGCCGCTTCCGGATCCATTTTGTTGCTTGCCAAATCTTTGGCGGGTATTTGATGTTATTGCAGGCACAAGAACGGAGAAAAGCTCTCCTAAAACGAACTTGAGGAGTTTTGCGGGCTGCTCATTTAAATTAGCACCTTTTTTAGTTTTTGTTTTTTTTTAAACCGTGGCAACAACCGTGCTTTTTAAAAATAATTACAGTATATTATGCATTTAATTTTTTTAAAATGACATTGTGTTTTTTATTTTAGTTACAACAATAATTGTGAGAAAAATTATACTTTTGCGAGAGCCGTAAATTGCTCCTGTAAACAGTAAGTTGCTTCTGTGGGCGAGAGCTAAAGTTATTGCTTCCCCCGAGGCCTATTATTGACATCGAGAAAAGAAACCACTTTATTTGCATAGTTCGAGCTAGCTAAATTTGGCCAGAACAATTACTCTTCATTTTTATAATATTCATCAATGAAGGGTATTAACGGCTTGCGGAAACATCCGATGTATGCTTGTTTGCTGATTGCTTGGCCATTTTCAAAAAACATTGGTTATGAAGTCCCATTGGGCGATATAATCAAAGAGACTGCACCTTTTTCTCATATTTCTTCTTTTTTTTGATTTTGATGTCACTAGTTGTAGATGACACGTCGCTAGAACAGAAACCATCGTTGCCAGCCAATGTTGTATTCGCATATGTGAAATATGATTCGTCATCCAAGATAAAATCAAAATTCCTAAAATTGCGATATATATGCCAACACAAAGGTTTGATTCAAGCTTGTTGGCCTTTGCTTGGATGTGAAATCTTTTTCTTCTTGTAATATCTAATATTCGTCTTGTTTTTAAGAATTTTAGATATATGCAATTGGTCACAATCGAATCTTTGAACTACTTGACATTGCAAAACACCATGATGATGATCAAATGCCTTTTTCAATTGGTCTATGTGCTGTTAGTCCATTTTTTTCACCTTTGGACAGCTTTCTTTTTTTCATTGAAAGCCTAAGTTATTGTCTACATGTTCTAGAGCACGATATATGGTTGCTCTTGATGCTCCTTCATCTAGAAAGTGTTTTACTGTGAACATTTTCGGCTTTTCTGGGTGTGAATTTCTAAATTCGCAAATGCATTTTCTTAAGTCTTCTTACAAACTGGTTTTATACGAAGTCATTTTAGATAATATTTTAAAACTATAATATAATTTTAATAGAGTATTAAATTCCCTAAAAATATACTAATTTATTTCAATTGCATGATAATGAATGTTATATACATTTGAATCAAAACATTGCAATATTACAAATTTAACTTTCTGATAACACATCAAAATATCATAAATTTAACAACCAACTGACATATTGCCATAAAATATGTTATGATTATGAGTTTACATAATCAAAAGTTATGTAAACTCGTTTTCTAATGTTATTTTATAATAAAAGTATGAAACAAAATCAGTTTAAATTTATTATATTATTTGATATTATTTAAATTATTATATTATTTGATATGATTTATTATATTATATGAAACATTAATTCAGTTTAAATTTATTATATTATTTAAAGTTTTATGCATGATTTTAGAATTTTTATTTGGTAACAAATTGTGCGGTGCATTTTTAATAATAATTTTCCAATAATTTTTATTGTTTAATGACGCATTGTTGTTGTTAATCTATAAGTGACTGGATTTGTAGTATATCAAAAAAGTTTATTTAACATAAAATTTATGTTATTTTGAAGAAAAAGAGTACTTAATATTTAAATATTTAAAAAAATAATTCAATAGTTAAGAGATATATTAATATTATTCTAATTATTATTATTCAATAGAAATTCACCAAGTTAACTTGGTGACTCTCAATAATATTGGTGCTGAATTTAATCGCTTTATTCAATACTTTGTGTATTTTAGATTTCAATTCTAGTTTTGCAAATGAACTATTTCAGCAGATTTCAATTAAGCATAATTTTTTTATGATTTCTAAGCAAGAAGTGGTAACAAATATTGTTTGGAAAATAAAAGTTAACAACAATTAATATATGCATGAATTTTTGTAATTTATTCTTAAATGACCGAAATTACATGATGACCAAACTTAGGCAATTTTATGGTATAAGAAAAAGTTTGTTTTGTTGTTTTGATTTAATTTTTTTACTTAGAATTTAAATAGTTTTAAAGATCGTTTTTATTTTAATTATTTTATTTTTCGTGATTATTTTTCTTCTTGAAGTCCTTCCATATAAAGAGCTTGAGGATTCTTCTGAAGTCCTTTTCTATTTATTAAAATAGAAAGTAAAATTAAGTTTTTGAGGTTGGCAAAAATATTGCCAACCTCATACACTGTCAGCTCAGCATTGCCAAATGCTAACCCTATATACATATATATATATATATATATATATATATATATATATATATATATATATATATATATATATATATATATATATATAATTTCAGCCTTTGCAACCAGAAAAAAATTTGGTTGGCAAAAAATTGCTGACCTCAAACTCTTATGAATGCGGATATGAGTTGATTTTATAGATATATATGTTTTGCTGATTGGCTCTAAACTTTCTTGTACTCAGGGATCTCTAGCCCTTGCTTAAAGAGAGTAACATATTTCAGTTTTTAAAATTTACTTTTTTTGAATACATTGAATATTTGGAACGAATATTTTTTATTATTAAATATCCAATATTTTTGAATGAGTTCATAAATTTTAAGCAGTGTATTTGTGAGTGTGTGTGTGTGTGTGTGTCATCAAACATGTTGGCTCCATTGTCATACCCTTGACCTCCGCAATTTTTTAAATTGATGTTATTTTGATCCAAGGCGTCCATTTTTACCTTGCCTTGAGATTTTTCACCCTGAGAAAACTTTTCTTAACTACCCTTCTTTTATCAACACCACTGTAGACAAATAGCAGAACTACAGTCATGTGACATTGAAGTGGACAATATTTAAAAAGCAATATTTATTTTTATTCTTAAATTTTGTTTTTCTTAAATGTTCAATTTGATGACCCTTGTTATTATAGATAAGTTTACAACGTTTAGACCAGGACATTAATTTTTATTTATAAGTTCTTGAGGGATGTTCCTCCATATATCTTTTATATTCCGAATAAGCCATGTAATATTTTTTGCTTTTCATTTTTTTAATTGATTTAACATATAACCCCATGTAAAAAAGTCCATAAGAGTTTGGTTTCCACATTTCAGGATGAATAAATTTGATTTTTTGGTCAGTTAAAAATTTAATAGCCATTTTCAAAGAGTGACTAAGTGTGGAGTCTTGATGGAAATAAAAGTCATTTTTTGGATATAGTCTTTTGATATCATTTTTAATAAATGTTTTTAAAACACTCTCTATATAGTTACTTGAATTAATTTTAACTCCTGATTTGACAAATATTAGAGATGTTAAAGGGATCCCAAACCTGTGTTCATTAAAGACAATGATAAAAATGTTTAGGCCAAGTTTTTTTGATTAAAACATAAGAATAAATGAATACCAAGAAAAACTAACTTTTTTATTATAGTCAAAGCTTGCCTTCTATAGATATATATATATATATATATATATATATATATATATATATATATATATATATATATATATATATATATATATATATATATATATATATATATATATATGTATATGTATATATATTGTTTTCAAATTTTCTATTTAACTTTCAGCTACAAAAGACTGAAAAACTAAAACCAATGGAATTAGAACTTAAAAAGTTAGAGGATCTTTCTGAATCTATTGTTAATGATTTTGCTTACATGAGGTCAAGAGAAGAACAAATGAGAGATACAAACGGTAAATAAGTCATTTTTTATTCCTTTTTTGTTTTTGTACATTATTCTTTCTTGCTGGAATATATTGTTTAATTCTTCATTTTTATTACATTTTTACTTAGTATTTTCTAGCCCAAAAATTAATTGAATTTATTCAAATATTTTTTATTTAGAATCTACAAGCGATCGCGTATTGTATTTTAGCATATTTTCTATGTTGTGTTTAATTGGTCTTGCAATATGGCAAATTTTCTATTTGCGAAGATTTTTTATTGCAAAGAAACTCATCGACAGCTAATTACATAGTATTCATTTTAGTGACAAGAATTTGAAAACGAAAAATAGATAGTTTCTTCAATTTTGGTGAAATAAAAAATTTTGGTATAAAATTCATTAGGAATATGTATTTCGCCTCTACTGTATATTATAATAAATATTCCAATGTTTTTGACAAGACAATTTTCACACTATTTAAATTATAAATCCCATTCTCCATTTACCAAGTAAAATTTTTTATTATGTCTTTAGATTGTTTTGGGTTTTTTCTGTGTATATGACTAGAATTTTAAATTATTTTATCACGTTTATTGTTTAATGTTTAATTTTATTTTTTTTACTAAAAGTTTCGAGTGAAAACATTTGAAAAAGTTTGAATATTTGGGGTTCCAGAAGGTTTATTAAGAAATCATGTCTTTTTTTTTTTTTTTTTTTTGGGTGTGTGTGTCGTAGTTAAAAATTTGTAACGATTCAGGTCAAAAAAATGTTTTTTATCTGTCGCGTACAGCTTTAGAGATAACGGCGCGGAACTTTGCGACACTTGCTAAACGTTTTATTGTATCAAGATATTTATGAGTATATTGAATAATGACCCATTATTTAGCATTAGAGATATCTACCTACGCAATTGCTTGAGTAAGTTTAATATAGAGATACAAATCTGCTAAAGTGCAGACTAGCATAAATTCGCCAATGGTTTTAAATTTGTGTATTTCTTTGTATTTTTATCGTTTCCCCTACGTAAAATAGTATAAGCATGTGGGTTTTGTTGCGTCAAAGTGGGCAGTTCTTAATTATCCAGATTCCCATTTAGTAATGTCTTGCACTTTTTTGCACTTAATTAGCTGTTTGAAAAGCATAGCTAAATCGCGTAATTTTGTAACTGTTTAGAAGATTGCATGTTAGTTGAGTCCCTCGAGGAAAAAGGTTCCGTTGGAAACTATAAACGTTAAACTGGGAAACTTAATAACCTGGCTGTTTGTATCGTGAAAAAACCAGCCTTAGGCTCATCTATAAAACAATTTTTTATTGAAGGTGGTAGTCTACCTTGATACCTAAATCCTAGAATTCTGTATAAAAAAACCAAATTTAAATTTTCAAATTTGGTTTTGAAACACTGTTTTTTGGTCCGCGGGACCAAAAAAAGGGCATTTACGCTGCGATAAATAACTCAAGATCGATTAAAGATACAGTTCTGAAAAAAAAAAAAAAAAAATCATCTAATAAGGAAGTTGAATTGGCTGAATTAAGGAAAAAAATTATTATTAAAAAGTTTTTGTTTAAATAATAATTCAAAATGGCAGCAAAATTTTGACCCAAAGTATAGGTTTTGAGCCCAATTAACTAAAAAACCAAAAAAGTTAAAATAAATTTTTTTAATTCAGCTAATAGATTATATATAAAAGAATCAATGTACCAAATTTTAGGTCCATAGCATTTAATTGAGAAAAGTTGTTTATCGCACCGTTTCAATAAACCTTATTTTGAGAAAAACAGAAAAGAAAAAGAAAACCCAACTCTTTTAGTCTAATTTAAGCCAAAAACTCACAAATTGCATTAACAAAGCATTATTTTTGAAAAACAAACTGTTTCAAATGATTATTGGCTTAGGAAACGTTTTTTTAAGACTTCAAAGTTTAAAAACCACTTTAAAAACAAGAAAAGAATAAAAATACATAAAGCAATAAATAGGTAAATTGTAAATTAGTAAAACGCTATATATAATAATGGAGAAAAAACTGTATAATAACGTAGAAAAAATAATTTAAAAAAGTTTCCGCTTGCCTTTTGGAGTAAACTTAAGATTCATATTAGCGACTCTTACAAAATCTTTATTTGTGCAAAACTCTTACGTAAATTTTCTATTATACATATTTAGCATAGCAAATACATTTAAAACTACATTTATTCCCTCGTTAAAATTTATGATTGCAGATGAGACACCAATTTCTAATGTGTCTCTAACATTGGCATACTTTAGATTTAATGCGGTAGTCAATGCATTTTCCAGTATCGCTTGAAATTAAAATTACAACACCATTTAAAAAAGAGAATCCTCGCTTTTGCCAGGTGATATCACATGAAACTGTAATACCTGTCTTGTTCTCACCAAGACCTTGCTTAATCTCAACAGCTGCTTTATTCATAAAGTTTAGAGCAACTTGCTTGGAAGCCACTAATATATTCCTTTGAATATCATAAAATGTTTTTTTATGCATTGGTGAAGGTAAATTCATAAAACCACAAAAGGTTGTTAAAACAGCATGCCCCTTTCCTATTTCCCTCACGGTCGTTTAGATGTGGAAAGTTATTATACGCAAGCGCAGTGTCAAGTTCAAATATTATAATTTTAAAGATGGTGACGGCCTTTAGATACAAAAGCGGCTATTTCCTGAGATCAGATCCCTATTTTGATTGGACGAAAAATTTGACTAGCGCTAGGTCCGAAAAATTGTTTCTCGTTAGCCGGATATATTTTAACTTGCTTAATATAAAACATATATGCCTTTTATATATGTTCTATTTACGCAAATATTTACCAGCAGACCACGCTGCAATTTTTTTATATTGATTTTTCACAGAATCGTTGCTAAAGGTAAAAATTATATTATAAAAAGATTACGATGGTAAGTTTTGAGAATCATATTAGCATCTTTAATATTACTGCTGAACAAACACTAGAATTTTCATTATTTACATAATTAAAATTTCTTGTACATTGTATAAAATTATATTAGCATATTTAATATTACTGTTTTACACATAACTTTAAAATTTAAAGTAGTCTTTAATTTCAAATTTAATAATATATGAAATTGTTGTGCATTTTATAACTCCAGGTCAGGTCAGGATAATCGAGATCAATCTTGCTACTGGTATCACGTAACCCAGTACCACCTGCCACAAGCCCTGCTGCCTTGCAGAGTGTGCTCTTCTTATGCAAAGGCTAGGAGAAATAAACTCCGACTAAAAATTCCCCTGCCTTGGGGCTCTTGGTTGAGTAAAGGCTAAAGATGGTGTCTCGATAAAAACACTCATCTTGGGCAGGTGTTAACTGCATCCAGCTAAACATCCCCTGCCTTGGGGCTCTTGGTTGAGTAAAGGCTAGAGATGGTGTCTCGATAAAAATACTCATCTTGGGCAGATGTTAACTGCATCCTGCTACTGTCTTGTAGAAGGCCTCCTAGGCAAAGACTTTAGGGGTAAGCAGAAAAATTCTGCTAACCAGCCTCGAACCCCTTCTTCATCTATTAGGCTGGCGTAGATGTAACCTGTGTTACATTGTTTCCTGCCTAGGATGATGAATGCTGGATCTCCTTGACTCTACTCATAGAATTTTGCTTATGCCTCCTTGATAATGGCTATGCAACTCTTCCTGTTATCTCCATATGAGGGTACAGCTCTAAAACTCAGTTTAATGGTTCTGAGGCGGGCTGGTAGTAAGGTTTCCCGAACTCTGTGGTAGCTCTCAGAGAGGCTGATTCCATCAACAGCTGCAAAATATCAGAGTATTAACAGTGCCATGTTGCGCATGGATGGTGTCCCTGTTAATGCTTTTGGTGTGCATTGTCAAGGCCACATAAGGAGCCCTATGTCACGGCTTAGGGTTAATTAACAGGACTGAGACAACTGCATAGCTCATTGATTAGGAGGCTGTGCTCTATCTATGAATGAGTCAAGTTCTCATTAAACCCAAATCATGACCAAAGTAACCAAAAATTTAAAACCTAAAAAACCATCCCCACCACCTAAATATTTTAATATATCTTTTACAAATATTGGCGGTCTACGAAGCAACTTTCCATCAGTTGAGTCTTACCTCCTGCAAAATTCACCAGAGTTGCTTGCACTCAGTGAAACAAATTTAAGTTCTGCAATTCCTTCTTCAGATGTCAGTGTTGATGGGTACTATCCTTTGATTCGTAAAGACTCCAATAGTCACATGCTAGGTTTAGGGGTATACATACACATTAATTCCCCTATTTGTCGTGAAATCAGGTTCGAATCCTTTGACCATTCTTTTATGTGCTTTCGCCTAGCACCTCTTCACTCTATCACCTTTCTCTTTGTTCTTTATCGTTCTCCTTCTTCCCATGATTGTACTCTTTTAGATGTTATCTCTGATCAAATTGACCATGCCCTCTCTCTTTACCCCTCTGCCAATATTGTTGTTGTTGGTGATTTTAATGCCCATCACACTGAATGGCTTAACTCTAACACCACTGATCCTGCTGGCACTAAAGCCTTTAACTTCTGCGTTTCTCAATCTCTTACTCATATAGTTAACTTTGTGACTCGTTTTCCTGACAACCCTAATCATTTACCTTCACTCCTTGACTTATGTCTTGTCTCTGACCCTAGCTTATGTTCAGTTTCTCCCTTTTCTCCCTTAGGTGGTTCTGACCATGCAATGATCTCTATAAATCTTTCTTCTCGTACTTCTTTTTTGGGCTCACCTTATCATCGCACCACCTACTACTACCCTAAAGCTGATTGGAATTCCTTTCGTGATTTTCTTCGTGATGGTCCTTGGGCTGATGTTTTTTCTCTCTCAGCTGACAAATGCGCCTCCTACGTAACCTCCTGGATTCAGGCTGGAATGGAAGCTTTTATTCCTTCTCGTCGGTTTCAAGTCAAGCCTCATTCTACTCCATGGTTTTCTCCTTCTTGTGCGGCTGCTATATCCAATCGTAACCATTTTTTTCATCTTTTTCAAAAGAACAACTCTCTTGAGAACAAACGGCTATTTATTGTTGCAAGAAATCGATGTAAAAAGGTGCTTTCTGATGCTAAACTCCACTATTCTCAGTTCACTAAATCTCGCATCTTATCGCAGAAGTTAGGCTCTAAAGACTTTTGGAAAATCTTTAACAGCATTGTTAACAAGGGTAGATCTAACATTCCATCTCTCATTCATGGGACTGATCTTGTTACCTCTCCCAGGGATAAGGCAGAACTGTTTGCAAAGAACTTTTCTTCTAATTCCACTCTTGAATCTTATGGACATTCTCTTCCTTCCATTCCAGTCAAACAGGTTGACCCATTGCTAGACATTCAAATCACTCCGGCTTCTGTTGCTAAAGTCATATCTCAATTAAACTCGTCTACAGCTTGTGGTCCAGACAACATTCCTGTCACAGTCTTGCAGAATTGTTCTCCAGAACTTTCTTCAATTCT